GGGGTGGAGGAGGGAGAAGAGGGGAGGGAGGGTGAAGAAGAGAAAGTGGGAGACACTGTAGCAGTGCAAAGCAATGAGCAAATTAGGATTGTGTTGCCCCCATTGATCATACATCAGATTCACACTATTGGGTAGCATGTCAAATATTAGAAGTGAATTGTGTTAGCCCCCTGTAGTCTGGTGTAAAGGTCTGAATCCCTCTGGTCCTGCCAGTATCCAGATTTGGAGATGAGGGGAATGGGATGGCGTGGGGTCAGAGCAGCCGCTGCCTGCCTGGACAAAAGTCCTCACTCCAAACAAATGCCACAACACTGTTTAAAACCGGTTCTCTCTGCCACATTAATCCCTCATGTGTGTAGGGACGGGTGATCCCAAATGATCTCAGCTTCTGGACATTTGCCAAGATTTTATTTTCCCACTTATGAGATGAATAAAAAAAAAAAAAAATCATTTAATTACTTAAAATTGGGCCCTGAAGAGGCATTTTTCTAACTAATAATGGAATACTTATATATAACAAATTATGTATAAAAGAGAGACGAAAAGCTGTGTTTTTACATGCACCTGTCCTCATCTTTCTGCAACATGCTTCAAAAAAATCATAATATATGACAGATGTGATTGTCTAAATGTTATACTTGGCCCCTAGGGAGCAGAGTGAGTTTTGGAAACTGAACTTAAAAAGCAACGACTGCACCTCTAGCTTCTAATATAATTTCCATGACAATAAAGCGTCTTTTAGAGCAGCGCTCATCTCCAAATATCATCTCATACTATAGGGACAGGGCAGCAGTGAAAAAAAATGCAATAAAGTGGTATACTTGAATCTGATTCAGCAATGCAGAGGTGCTATACAGATGTGGTCCTGTGTGCAGAAAGTAGAAAAATTGGATTCTTCCCCCGGTAGATAAATTTAAACCTTTCCTGCGAGGAAGAGGAGGATTTTAACTTGCATTCATGTTAATGACAGTGATTGTGTGTTTGTTTATTAGACTCCTCTGGCTTGTCTGCGGGGTGCTGGGATCTCGTGGTTGTTACATTGTCTGGTGCCTTCATTTAGGTCCTTTTCCAGTGCTGCAGCGGTCCACGGAGACTACAGGCTGTTCTGTGTTCAAAAGCCTTGTCTGCCATCTAAATGAGGCTTTCGGGGCAAAAAAAAAAGAAAGAAAGAAAGAAAGAAAAAATTCTACATGAAAATACCACAATGTGCTGAACATTAGCTCACACTCGACTGAGATGTTTTGGGAATATGTTGGTTCTCCTTTTTGGATTGTTATTTTTCCCTGTGTATTCTCTAACTGCTATCTACCCACAGGGCACCAGGGCCTCTTGTTGAGCAAAAAAAAAAAAGGCATGAAATTGACATTATATCCTTAAATGCAGTGCAGATTTGCAGGGAAAACACAGTAATCCGCTGACAATGCTTGAAAATCAAACACATACTCCTTCGCTCTCCCTCTCTCTCCTTAACAAGCTGCAGTTTGCACTTAAGGTTAAATCTACTCATTAATTACTTGCGCCTCCTTAAAATCCTCTCCTTTCATTTAGGGCAAAAAAAGAGAGTATTTTCCTCAAGTTCCTTATACGGATACTATTGTTCTTAAGATCAAATACTCTGGGGAAATGCAACAATTTATACAAATCAATAGCATCCAAATAATTCATGACTGATCACATGGTGTTTTAGCTCCTTATTTGCAGTAGAAAACCATGTTTTGTTTAGCTCCCAGAGGGCAACATGAAAGACCTGGGGAGAGGCGGGGAGAAATGGAACTGAAGAGAGTGCATGAGGATAATAGGAGGACATTGATCATTTGGTGCACAAGAAGATAACTGAACCTGTGAGTCAAGACTAACAAGATGTATCATTTATATATTATTTAGACGCATCTGGGCTTTTCGTGTACATTCTGTTGCATCAGGTTTGCATCATCGCCTATGGAGGGGACACAGCGTGGTGACCT